AGCAGGGTTAAAAAAAAAACCTAAACATGTAAAAGTACATAAGAGCAATCTGAATTTCAGGCTATTTGATTTCAAGACAACAACACTATTCCCAAATATATATGTGGTAGTTCAGAAACCACCAGTGGAAAAACAGTGGAAAACAATGGACAATTCAGAAACATTCTAAATTCAATCTGCTTCATTAAACACTAAGTTAGCCTTCTTCTGGCACCCATGATGCTTAACAACAACTAGATTCCACAAGAAAGTGAAGTGACATACAGAAAGGAAACAGCAGAGAAAAGCAACAGACAAAAGAGAAAAGTGGAATGAGAACTATAATGAAAAGAAATGATGAGGTTTACAATGTAAAGAGTAAAGATGTACCACTGACTCCAGCATGAAATGTTGCCAGCCAGCTAACCAGGATCTCATGGACACAAAGATAAGTGGGAACATAAAGGAGCATGAAAAGACAAATTTAAATCACTGACATCAAAAATGAGAACTAATACTCAAGTAACAAAAATGCAACAAAATTGTCTTAAAATCAGAAAGAACAATTTAGAGATTATTAAAATCTCATTCAGTTTAATGATGTGTTACTTATATGATGGACCCAAAAGGTAAAAATGTCAGTAGTACCAGAGGAAGTTTATGAGGAAGTGTGTCACAAAAGCATTATGAGGCTGATTTGCGTATTTTTTGCGGGAGTGACTTCAGAATTTTCCTCAGTGGTATAGTGCCACTTATTTTAAGAGTGTCACTATAATTCTCATACTGGCTGGCTGAGTTAACTTTCTTAAAATCTAGAGTTCAAAATAAGGTATTTATTAGGATCAAAATTTAACCTTTACAAGGGTATGCATATGCATAAAACTCCCTTGATCATATACCACTACATAGTGCAACCTAAATGAATCTAATGGTAATCAAATCCAAACTAATGCTTCTCAACAATTAAGAACTTATTTTAAAAGTTTCTTGAGATTAAAGTTAACAAGACAAAAGAAAAAATTTTTTGATCTGTTTGTTTCAAGAAATATTTTTTTAAAAAAATCAAATTATACCTTGAAATGAATCAAGGAACACGTAATAATGAACATATTTTTCCATATGATATAAAACTTTTAGGCACAAAGTTAAATATACACAACCACACACACACACACTCCCCATGGCCATTCAGTCCAGTGATTTCAGTAAGAATAAAAATAAATATGCCTGTAGCAAAGAAAATATTAGATCAAAAACAAATATACCTAAATGATATATTAATTAATCATTTATTCATTACATCTATGAACATGTAGTCTTCACAAACAAGCCATCAAAACAGGTATTGGAGAGTTTTTTCCTAACAGTCAACAAAATACATTTATTAAAGAAGGACAGGATGAAATAATATATATGACTACAGTCTATTCACCAATTTAATCAAATTCTAATTTTAAAAGATAAAGAAAATATAAACCCTGTCAATACAAAGTCAGCTGAAGACCAATGCTATGTACTGAGAAAATTTAGATTCAATCTCTGGAGAATGAGCAAGTATAACCATTTTACTAATGCACTAATGCTTTAAAAAAAAAAAAAAAGTATAGGGGAAATGAAAAAAAAAAAAAACCCAGAATGTATTATATACACATACCAACTCCCTACAAGGAATATGATCAATATAGATTACAAACAAGTATTAGCAAAAATAAAAACAAAAAATTCAGAATTTAAAACGTGATTCCTCAATCTCAATACTATTGACATTTTGAGCCAGCTGACTCTTTGTTACAGAGGCTGTCCTACACACTGTGTGACAAGGAGCAGGGCTCCTACCTGCCATCTACCCACTAGATGCCAGCAGCACACAAAGCCCCCCTCTTCACCCCACTGAGACCACCAAAAACATCTCCAAATGTTGCCAAGGGTGAGGGGCAAAACAATCCAGTTTGAGAACTACTGACTTATAGCATAAATAGAAAAAAATGTCAAAGTGGAATCAGTGGATACTGTTTTTATATTTTTGGGGTCTGCAAGTTTCAACATATTATACTTTATTTGGACTTGATCACAGACAACATTTAAGAAATTCTGTCTTTTAGAGAACAAACCATTTAATAACTATACTTGTCGGCCAAAGTTCAGATGTGTCCCAGAACATCCTCTGTAATGCCAACTCTTTCTCAAACCACACGACAAACTCGCACCCACACTGCATCAAATACAGAGCTAAATAAAAGAAAATATAACATAATGATTACATCTCCATTTCTTACTTCATCAAATATATTAACCACACTGTTTTAGCTCCCACAGAATCAAACAAATTCTCCATTTACTTCAATGCAACTCAAATGTCACAAAGCTACATCACGCGAGCTAGGTAGATAAATCTAAGTACTACTAGGGTAAGTATTAAACTTACATTTTAACAAACTATGAAAAACAAATTAACCATCATTCTTTAAAAAAAAAACTGAAAAGCAGATTTGTTTTGAAGCAGAATCTGAGGTAGGATAAAAGGAATAAAAAATTCAAAATTAAAGCAAATCTAAAAGCATTCCAGGATGAAGGCAAAATTAAAACTGTTTCCTCTGGAATGAGAGAGGAGAAAATTATACTTGGCCGTATCTTACAAGAATGGTCTGTCTACACAATCAGTCTCTAGAACACATACCATAGGATAGAAACTGAAAAAACTCAAAGTCCATAAAATGTTAAAGAAAACTGTAAACATCCATCCTAAATACCTAAAATACTTTTTTAGTACTATTTTCCACTTGAGATACATATATATCCAGAAACAAGATAAATTTCTTAATTCTCATAAAAATAGCCACTCTCATGGTTCCAGCATGCCGGATTACATATCACATAGAAAAATCAATTAGGAGAAACAATAATCCTATCTTAGAGTGCATTTTACTCATAACAAAGCCTTTTCAAAAAATCAGGCATTTTAAGTACTAAAAACCTTCATGGATAAATATGGATTAATAAGGCTTTTAAGATTATGTCAATTATCTTCAGGACAATCATATTTTAGTTCAAAGAGGAACTTCATTTAAAAAAATCTACACAACAATACTTAATGTTAGTTTAATATAAATGATATATGTATATGCTCTACAGCAACAATATTACTTTATTTCAAAATTTTCACTGTTAACCTCCTGGCTCAGAGAAAATAATCCTATAAGAAATTAATGCTCAATTTTTTTTACTTCCAAACCAAACAGAAAAAGCTGTAACGATCTGTAGTGACACTCTGCTTTTCCAGAAGCAGCCTGCTTTTCCAGAAGTAATACCTTAAGATTGCTCAAGATTATCCTCCTTCACCAATTAATATGACTCAGGTGTGTTTGGAAGGGAATAATGTCCACAAGCTCTTGGTCAGTGGCCATGATGCTCCTCCTCCTCAAGGGCAGAAGATCAGAAAAAGGGATTTGAACCAGAGGAGTTCACCGACGAGAACACATAAGGCCAGAGAAAGAGTACTTACTATAGAAAGGGGAAAACTAGATGGTTAAGTCATTTCACAAAAGCAAGATGTTTAACGTTATCAAGGCCTTCATTCATTTCAGATACACCATTGTTTAGCTTCCTCCCCAAACCATGCACAAAAAGAACTGTCAGCCTGCCGTAAGCATGTTCCTTCTTCCATTTGAACAGACATGATTCTTTTGGTTAATCTCTGGCAATGATCGCCATTTCACAACACATTGAGTCCGCCCGGAACTGATCAATACCATTACAGACAGAAGACTAGACTTTATCCATTTATTAACCACAAGGAAATGTACCATTCAGCAAAATTCTATACATTACAAAAGATTCTATGGGGGGAGTGGACACATACACACACAAAGGTACACAAAGAAAGACTACCACCCTCTAATTTCCCTGTGGCAAATGAGATAAAGACGTGACCATGTAACCTGTCAATTCGCGCCCCCCCCCATAATTCTATTTCACAACCTAGTAATTGAATATTGAATATTTATGATACATAGATTCATCATGACTTTTAAACTCTTTCATCTATGAAACTAACTCTCCCCTTAGGCACATTTGCACACCTTTCAGCTAGATACTGTGTTCATTTACAGAATCTGAAATACAAAAGACTAGACAGTTTTTCCAACCACTGGTTGCAACCACAGAATGTCCTCACAAAATAAAAAAAATTTTAAATATAAAATGGCCAAGTTATTCTCACAACCTTGGGCTACTACATCCATAAGTAAACCATATTTAACAATAAGATCAATTTCACATAGCCTGTGCTAAATCGAAAACAATGCTCCAATACAAAGCGTTTAAAATAAGTATTCCGTAGGTAAGCAAAATCTTTGCCTGAAAAGAGCACACAAATGGTGGTTGGAAGCCAGCATATTACCAACACACAGTGGCATACCTCTTCTGCACTGAGTTATAGTTAATACTCCAATACCAACTATTTTTATCACTGCCGGACAAAGAAGTTGAAAAAACCGTGAGAGGATAGTAGGATTAAATTTAGTTAACAAGATGTATTGTTTCTCACGGCCGAAATTAAGTAGTCACCGAATTGATCCATGTCGTGATATTCACCGATGAAGGTCTACACACAAAACTAGAAGACGACAAAAGCTACCCTTGTTTTGGAGCAGCTTACGCTAGATGACATTTCGGAATACTCCTTTTGGGTCTCAACCTTTGCATAAATTGTCACTTGTGGTATTTGTGGCTTAACTGCAACCCAACCAGTGCTGTCATCCAGTGTTATGGCCACAGACCATGACTTTCTCACTTCCACAACAACACAGCACTCTTATCAGTTCACCAGCCCAACTCAAAACAAAACAAAACAAAACAAAAAAATTTCATGGAGGTTTCCAGATCACAATCAGACCTGGGGTTAGCAACTGAGGGGCACAGGGCATAGGAAACCTCCCCGGGCAGCACTGGAGCTCACCAAGACCCAACAGCAGCCGTGGCCGCCTGCAGCAGCCCCGCCGCGCCGCGCTCCCGGCACCTACCTGAAGAACAAGAGATAAGAAAGACGGCAAACGCCAACTTTGCAGCAGCTCCCATTTTCCCGAGGCGCTGGGGAAGCCGTAGGAAGTTCTCGCTAGAAATCCAGTTCCCTGGGTCTTCCTCGGAGACAAACCTCCTGGTGTAAAATCAACCGTCATAAAACATATTCGGAAGCCCCGAGCAAAAAAACGTTCACGGGGTTTGGAAAAAAGGAAAAAAAAAAAAAAAGCACAACAATTAAAAAAAAAAAAAGGCACCACGGGGGAAAAATCGCCACACACACGCACAACACACAAAACCAAACAACGAAAAGCCAACAACAACAAAAGCGGATTTAAATCACTGTCAAAATCACTGTCAGCTCCGCTCGCCTCTCCGATCTCTCGGAACAAAACGCCAGGCTGAGGCGAGGAGAAGGCGGCGGCGGCCCCGGACAGTCCGGGAACCTAGCTGGGTCCGACGTCCGGACCGACCTTCAACCCGGACACCCAAAGTCCGCGGACCACTAGCGGCCGAGCTCGCAGCGGTGGAGGCCGCGGCGGCAGCAGCGCGGGAAAGGGGCGGCGGAAGGCGGCGGCGACGGCGGTGCAGGCAGGGGCCAAGTTCTGGTCCAGGCTCTGGCTCCGGCTCCCGGGCTCCAGGCTCGGCCGCGTTTTCGGTCTCCTGGCCTCCGCCGGCCCCGCCCCCTCGACTTCCGGTTCCGGCCCGAAGCTGGAAGCCCGGCGCAGCGGAGGAACGCTCGGCGGCGGCGGTGGCACCAACGGCAGGCGGCGGCGGCCGAGCGCAGCGCGCGTGCCGGGCAGGGAGCGCGAGGAGATTGTTGGGGAAGCGAGCGGGGGCGGGGGAGGGGTGGGAATGAGGGCGGGGCCGACTGCAGGGCGGAGGGGCGGTCCGGGCGGAGACTCAGTACCGCGAGGCCTCGGCGCCCGGCCTGCCTGGGCTGCAGATCCCGCGACAAAGGGACGCGGGCGCCTCAAAGTCCCTGAGCTGTGGCCGGGCTGTGGGTGGGCGGCTGGGTGTGGTCGGGGACCCAGCGAACGGCGTGTTCGGATCGCGCCCCCTGCCTCCGCGGATTACTTGTCCAGTGGTCTGGGGAAGCCCAGAAGGAACTCTCCGGCTGTGGAACGGGTGGCCGACGCCTCCCCCGAGGGGCGGCTGCGGCGCCCTGCGTTTCCTCTGGGGGACGCCACGGCCGCTCGCAAGCTCAGCGCTCAAGGATGGGAGCCGACTGCCGCGCCCGCCGAGCTGCCCAAGCGAGCTCGGGCCGCGCGAGCTGTGTCTTCGCTCGGGTCTTGGCCCGCTGGGCGTCCCACCGCCGTGGTTTCTGCATTAGCGTTTTGTCTTTTGGCTTAAAAAAAAACTCACCAGAGAAAGAACTGTGCGCCAGGTTAGGATGTGCACAATTATCACTACGTGCAATTTGAATCCTTTTGCATATCTTTTATGCACAAAGCATTGTGTTGAGAACCATTATACACGTAATAGGTTAGCAAAAATTTATTGCGCTTTGAAGAAAAAAATGCAAATTTGTATTGACATAGTTGATGGTCAGACAAATGTTTACTTTTTCAAAATTGAGCTCTTTTAGGCCATGTTTTTACCTCTTGGCCCATGTTGATTGCTTTTGAGTACAGTGTTAGGCACAAAATGGGATCCAAAATGTAAAAATAAGATCTGTACCTCAAGGGGCTCAGGATACTTGCTGTGAAGTTAGCTACATAATACAGACTAAAGACCATTAAAGTTAGTAGCTCTGACATTTACACTTTAGCTAAAGGTAGATAGCTTGTATTTTTCCCATCACCCACGAGTGTTGGGTTAATGAATGTGTAAATGACTAGAGAATGACTGTCCTTATTCTTATATATATTTTTACAAGTAATTTACAAGTTTTTGGATTCTTTGGAAATAAATCCCACTGCATAAGATGACTCATTCTGTCTTAGGATTTACAGATTCCCACATTATTCTACAAAGCCACTTGTGTTTCTACTGTTTTCTTTTGCTCTTCCTCTAAATTACTCTATATTTTTGTTTATTACATTCATCCTGTAATTATCTGCCCATTTCTACAGCTTGTCAAGGTTATTAATAATCATTGTGGCGCTTTAAACTCTCTCCAAGATTTTCAGTTCTCAAGTTGTAGTGCTCAAAATTTGGCCTGTGTTGTGCAACAAAGTCCCAAGCTGGTGTTCAAGTTGTCTGAGTGATCCCACAGAGTTCCATTCTGTGAACTGAGAGTTGCCACTAACAATTCTGGAATGGAAGTGTATTTTAATTTCAGTTCATTCAAGAATATGATGGCAGTTTTACCTTGGATCAGGCTCCATTATGGTGTTATCACTAACATCACTTCAGTGTTTCTTGTATTATGAAACCTGAGTAAGTGGAATAACTGGAACAACAAGAAACAGTACTGAAGCTTGAAAGTATATTCTTTATTTTCTCACCCAAATTTTTCTGTAGTGTTAAAGAAGAGCAATAAGTTAGTCTTCCCTAAAAACAATAAAATGAAAATGAGTTAAAATAGAAGAAACTATTTAATTACATCCATTACCAGTAACTCTGTTCTTAAATCTGTGTTCACCCCATGTATTTTTTTAATTCAAAAATAATTTAACTTAAAAAAGTGTGTTACTAATTCCCATGAGAGTTCCTAAACGTTAAGATAGAGGTAGCTGTAGCTAAGTGTGCTAGCCCTCCCTCCCTATTTTCTTGAATCACTGTTTTTTGGAGATGTGATCTCCCGTGTTACCCAAGCAGGCCTGGATCACAAAATCCTCTTGCTTCAGCAGCTCAGGTAGCTGGAATTATAGGCACATACCACTGCACCTGGTTTAAGAGTCACTTTTTATTATCAAATCCAGCACCTTCTTAACAATATAAACTGTTACATTCTGAGTTTATGAAGAAAAGAAAGGAAAGGAAAAAGAAACATGAAAGGAATTTTATTCTGTCAGAACACTTGAAATTTTTGAGATAAGTAGCTTTTAACTAACTTCATTCATGCCTCAAACCAAAGACCTAACATTGCAGCCATTCCTGTCTAGAAGTTGAAGTCTACAGAGTCCTGCCAAGAAGTTCAGTTGAAGCACAAGTTGTCTTCAGAACCAGTTCAATTTACAGATTTAAGTATATGTTGGTTGGATAAGGAGTCTGAGATAAATGGGTGACACAGTTTGTTTCCAGAATAAAGGATGATTCCTATATGGCTTTAAAAGATATGGAAGTTTATTTAAACTTCAACCCAACTAGAGTTAGAACTGATCTGGGATAGAATCAAACTTGACTTTGAAACAGTGTGGTAGATCATCTCTGTGGAGAAATTCAGCCTAAGGCCTTCACCTGCCTTCTGGCATACCAATAGTCACACAGCATGAACAAGTTATGTCAGATTTCTATCTTCAGGAAGACAACTGGAAAACTTTGACGTATGTAGAATGTTAAGTTCCCCTTCAGTGAAGGATGTAGAAGAATTTCTGCTATCAGGTATAAAAATTTACACCTATATTCAGTTAACATAGGTATTCCTGAAATTGTACAAGTGTTTTGTTTTTTTTTAAATAATACTGGGGTTGTACCCAGAACCTTTTCACTGAGCTACACTAATATTTCACTTTGAGGCAGAGTCTTGCTAAGTCGCTACTTTGCCCAGGCTAAGTCTAACTTGCAAGTCCTTCAGAGTAGATATGCTATCATGTCCTGGTACAAATTTCTTACATACTAATGCTCTGAAACATAATACATGGGAAATAAACTTGGTATCTTGATAAGTCAAAGGAAGCCAGATAATGATTGGTATAACTTTTACAAATAATGTTTTTGTCCAGTGTGGGAAGGACATTTGCTACATCATAGGTTGTTGCTATTCATTCTTACACTTCTACTTACATGCATTGCACTGTGTCAGCGAGGTCAATGAGACACGAACTGAGAAAAATACGGATGCAAGAATAGAGGGAAGCAAAGCAATAAGGAAAAGTATTTTATGGCAAGAAAATGAGTTAGAAGAGTTAAGAGATGGAAATAATGTGCCCAGCAGTTTGATAAAAGACTAACTCAACACTCTAGGAAAGTGAAGCAGGAGAATTGCAAATTCAAGCCCAGGCTAGTCAATTTAGTGAGTAAGAACCCACCACAAAAAAAAAAAAGTTGAAAGGGGGCAGGGAGCCAAAGATGAAGCTCAGTGCAAAGGCCCTGATTCTATCCCCAGTGCCACAACAAAAAGGTGGAGAGGGGATAATCCAGCCAGAAATGTAAATCTCAACAACTAACTGATTTCTCTATAATGTCCCAGAGGCAATATTTGACTTTTTCTCACCATTGTCGTACCCTTCAAAACCCAGTAAACATGTGGGAAACAAAAGTAACAGCCTTCGCTTGGAAAATAATTTTTTCCCACCTTCTAATTTACATTCATGACCACAGCTGCTCAGTTTTCCTGAATAGGTACTAAGTCCTCCCCAGACTAGTAACAAGATGCCTGCTCTGAAATTGTAGAGTGGCTGGGAGAATTGCGTTCCCTCAGTGGTGCTGAATTATGATACTATTGACTCATCTCCCAGTAGCTAGAAATGGAGATAGGAGGTAAATAGAGTGTAGGTTTAAACAGCAAATGGTAAGAGTAATGTCCCTAGTATTTAGTGTCCTAGAAATAGGATGCTAATTGCCCTTTCTTTTTTTGTCTTTTTCATTTTTATCGGTACCAGGGATCGAACTCACGACTGCCTGCTTGCAAGGCAGGCGCTTATGCCGCTGAGCTAAATCCTGAGCCCCAGTATGTAAGCTAGTTCTACCAAAGAATAGTTAAGCTTTGTGATGTACTACCTTAAACCAACCACAAGTGGAATGTCAGCCGAATCACCTACTACTAAGCAGAGTGCTGTTCTCCACCCAGTGCTAGACTCAAATTACTTGTTATTGATCTTCAAATTGGTTGTTATTGATCTTCAACAAGATAAGTATAAATGTTGACAAAACCTGTTTAGAATGTTTTGTCGAAATTTAGTACAGTAACTTTACATTTATTAATAAAATACTTGGGCTTTTATTTTATTATTTTTATTTCATGTGCTAAATAATTCAATTATTTTTGCACTTTTATTTTACAGTAGTTTTGTTTTGCTTTGATTTGTTTTGTATTACTGGAGATTGAACTCAGGAGCTTTGCACTGAGCTATATATCAGCCTCTTTTTATTTTTTATTTTAAGACAGATTTTCACTGAATTACTAGTTACCCATGCTGGGCTTGAACTTGCAATCCTTCTGCTCCAGCCTCACATGTGCCACCATATCAAGCTATAAAAGTCTTACAAATTAAAATTCATCGCAGAGAATTTGAGAGGTTCTTGAGTAGAGAATAAGCGTATGTTCTCCACTCCTGCTAACAAAACATGCCTTCTATCCTGTTTTGATGAATGTTTATTATCTTAAATAAAGTTTCTATATATAGCTCTGAAATTTTCTATAAAGCAAGACTACATAAAGATCAGTCATTTTTACCATATTGTCCATTTTTAGCTGTGGTACTTATTTATTCAAGTAATTATTGAGTATAGAATGTG